CAATGTTATACTTAACCATACAAATAGCAATGAGTTGGGTAGAAACCACCCAACGGCTAACATGGGCACAACCAACCTCTTGATGAGTGGGGGTCACCACGTTAGAACGTGGTGGAAGTTGGAAAGCTTACGTGGGACACGTAACACGATTAATCGTAGAACGTGGGTGTTTTATCAGGTGCCTATAAATATTTCCAAGGTGAGAAAACGTATTCTACTTGAAACCTGAATTGTTTGAATTCCCATATACTCTCTTCTTACTTCCTAAAAATTGATTACTGATTCTCAAGTTAGAGGTACAATGGGAAAGAAAGCCCCGACCTCATTTTACAGGTATCATACGCTGATCGGAGTACGCGGAACACTCAACACATCAAGAGAACGCGAAGGACAACGTTACTACAACTTCATTGGCGCCATCTGTGAGAGACTACTGAACAAGAAAGCTATAACAAGGAGACAAACAATGAGTGAAACTCGCATGGTCAGGAATAGGGCAGAGACGAAGTCGGAGTCTGTTGCAAGGGGTCATGACCTGCCACTGCAGTCGGAGCCAATTTAGTGTCTTGGAAACACAATGGCAGTTATGATGACCCTCTTGCAGAGTTAAATGAAAAAAATCGCAGCCCACCACAAAACTCGTCTGAAGTAGTACATGAGCAACGACCCCAGGTGGCGCAAACGGTTATCCCTCATGTTACTCAGCCAACTACACGAGACTCGGGGGCTACAGTGTTTGTGGTTCCACAGATTCACCAACCCATGACAGACTTGAAAAAGAAGATAGATGAGATGATGAACCAGAAAATAAATGATGCATTCACCAAAAGGAAGGACATGCGCAGATAAATGGTGTTGCAGGAAGATCTATTTACACTCAAAATTATGGCTGTTCCTTTACCGAAAGACTTCAAATAGCTAATGATAGAAGCATATAATGGAGTCACAAATCGGCTTAACCAATTGCAGACCTTCGTTGATTTAATGAGACTCTATGCAGCCCCAGGCACAGTCACGTCGGTCCTTTCCCTCGACACTCAGGAGGAAGGCTACAGACTGGGTGGCCACCTTGGTACCAAGGTCTGATAAGTGTGTTTTTGAACACTTATTTAATACTTAAACAAGCTAATTATTGATTAAAATTAGTGAATTTCTACTCACAATTGT